AGTTTTCCATCTGGTGTGGGTGAGTGATAGTCTACTTTGATTTTGGTTAAGGTAGATTATCATTTACAGTGTAATCAGTGGGGGAATTCTGCAGACTGTTGAGGGTTCAGCCTCCTGATGAGTTCGTGAAACTCCGACGAAACAGTTTGTCACAGCCCTTCGTTTGTTGTCCTCCTCTCTCTCTCTGCCTACGGTTTACCGGGCAGTTCTGTTTGTGACTTTATATATACCATTTGTTGACATAAGACTGCTTGCACAGTTTGTTTGCAATTTGGTGCGCAGCGTGTAAGGACTGAAAATCCTTGTGTCAGTGGTTAGAATCCACTTCCACTTCTAGGAAATTGTACGTCAGATACTTCAGCCTGCTCAGTCTGTTTTTTTTTTGTTTTTTTTTTTTTGTGACACTTTTTGTGTGTGTCCCCTAATGATCATCATTGTGACTGCTACGTCATTTCTCGTTCCACTTCCCTTCCGTTCTCCTTGTTTACTCTCGTAAGTCTAATATGTTGCTTGGTTAGATGTGCCTTCTCCCCACAAACAGATTGGAATTTGGAGTGGAAAGAAAAAGAGGAAAAAAGGCTTCTCCTGAAATGAACCAAGTATTTGTCAAGTTCAATCTCCATACATCAATGAACATTCACATGAGAGTTCACAAGTGAGAAGTCAAATCGGATACAATCCACACTAGAAGATGGCGTCACCAATATTATTATCAATATACAAAATGTTTGTTCCAGCGCCTCTGCCGCACACAGACACACACACACACAGCGGGTCTCAACCAGGTAGTGGCTCTCTGTCTCTCTCTCTCTCTCTCTCTCTCTCTCTCTCTCTCTCTCTCTCTCTCTCTCTCTCTCTCTATAGTTACCCTGGATACACCCACTCAGGTATCTTACACCTTGGCGACTATGGCCGCCATCCTCCTCTTCTACGTCTAACTTAGCTATGGACTCTCTCTCAGGCCCCTTTCCTCCTTCAGGCGCACAGTGCCCAAGTTGCCGCATCGCACAAGCAGGAGGTAGCCCTTCCGCATCTCGCAACTGAACAATCGACGAGTCGCTGCACTGTAGCAGCTAATTAAAGGATTTGTCTTCGCTTGGCTTGGCCTGCTTCAGACCGGTACCGGTCAGCCCCGGCCTGTCTGCTGCAAACATTTTGTCGGTCTACCGGACTTTCCTGGGACATGCTGCAAAATTGGACTTGGCACTGTCGGACCGGACCGGACTCTTCCGGATTTGTCTTGCCCAAACGGACTTCTACCGACCTACGACACTTCGGCACCTACTGACCTATTATGACATGTCGGCCTCTGGACCCTGCGTCCTACCCTACGGGATGGCCCTGGGACTTGGGACTGGTCGGGACCCCCTACTGACCTATGACATGTCAGCCTCTGGACC